TATGAAACGTGACTAATTCACTAAGCAAACTTTAAGCTTTTGTGCTGTACTAAAACATATCTTTTTAATCCACTTTAATCCACCAACTTTCATAATACGTTTTACCTTGCAAAGGTATGTTTAAAATAAGCATTGCGAAGGTTATAAGATCACTAAACTGACTAAATTTCGTCACTAAAAGGGTGAAAAAACAAAAATGTTGAAAAGAATAATTTAACAAGGTAAACACTATTGAAAAAAAAAAAAAATTTATATTTTATATAATTTTTAGATAAATTCTAATAGAATAATAATACTATCATATTGTGAGAATTCATGCTAGATATTTATTAAATATACATTAATTGTGCAAAAGGTTAGATATTGAGTTTAACATATAGAAGGTTATAGATTAGATATAAAGATATAAAGTTGAATGTAAATAATACTATTAATGAATAAATAGATTACTGTTAATGGTAAATAGATTATATAAATTATAAGACATTTCATTTACAGTTAATATTTAAAGCATTTAAAATATTTATTTTGAATTTTAATATTTAAATTTGAATTAATTTCGCTTTAATTTATTTTTTTCGTTTCTTTAATATTTGCAATTTGATTGGTTGATAAACATATGATATTATATCAACATCTGTGTAACATTGACGGTTCCTCCTGTTTCCCGGGCATCGCAACTAGAGGTGTGATCCGTAAACTAGTAGTTAATATAAATAAACTGTAGTTTATTGTAAAACTGTAGTTAACTGTAGTTTTAAAATAAACTACAGTTTATTTATACGTATTGTAATTCACAGTTCGCATCTCTAATCGCAACATACTATTCTATCCAAAGTTTAAATAACTGTAAAATTCACTCTCAGACATTTGATGGCCCAACATTCATCCTCATTAAGACACTTATTATATTCGTTTTTGAAGTCTTGCATCAATAAATGTTCTATTTTTTGATTATACAAAAAAAAATGATCATTTTCTATAATTTCTAGCTTATTTAAAAATATTAATTTCTTTTTCTTCAAGAAGTTTGATCGTGTCAAAGTGGTCATTAAGGACGGCTAATTTTAAGTATTTAATATCTAGTTCTTCATTCACAGAACCATTTAAATACATATCACCCAAATTATATTGAGCTGCAACATTTCTAACATCAGCTGTTTTTGTCACTAAATTCACTAAATGTCTTCTTGTTGAATTTAATACCTAGTGTATTGGTCAATGAAAATAAATAACGTAATTGAGCATTGAGAATTCCATCATCAGCTGATGCTTTGAATAATTGACTTGCCCTTACAAGATTTTTAACTTCAGAAGGATATCCTTCAGACAATAATATCTCATCTAATATTTGGCTGTTACATTTTTCAAATCAGAATGGGCCTGAAAACAATCCCAAGCTGTATTATAATCTTTTTTTTTATAAGCTTTATTCAAAAGGTATTATTTTTGGAAAATTAAAATTCAATAGGTTGTGGTTGAGGTTTAGATTCATCAAAATCAATTGTTCCATCAGGGAGTAGTGATGGGAAAGAACCTTTAGCAAAGGCCACAGATAGTTTTAAAAAAATATCTTGAAGAGAAGCTCTGATATTTATATCTTGTTGCCAGGCTTTATAGTAAAAAAAACTTTAGCAAACC